GGATCCTGGAAGGATTTGCAGCCAGGCACAGACCACACACATTGATTTTTTGCTTCCAGACTGATAAGTGTCCTGTGCAACCAGAAATTGTGATTTATTTCGAGCATTAATTGATAGCAGCAAGCTCTTGCTCTACTTGAATTACTCCTTAAACCACTCTTCATTTTGATAAAATGCTTACAACTTAATTTCTAGACACCTTTCCAAGTAGGCAGTGGCTGTGCTGTGAGAAGACAAAGTAAATTAAGAAGGAAATGTGTGATTTGTGTAATTGGAGTGACAGCTATCCCCTTTACTACCTACAAATGCTCCCAGGGGTGAGTGCATGACTTTGGAACAGCAGCAGTAAACAGAGCACTCTTTTCCAGGCTCTTTCTGCTGGGAACACCTCATATCTCTGTTGAACCCACTTCTTGCTTAAATAACCACACAAGTATATCATGCCTGGAGGAAAACTTAGTGCATGTTGGGATTTGCATGTATTTCATGGGAAAAAAAGTAGTGAAAAAGGGAGGAGAGTGAATGAGAAATAGGTGCATGTGCCTTCAGGACAGAGTTTCCAATTTTTCTCTTTGGTTATGCAATGTAAGAATTTTTTTTTTTTTTTTTGTCTTTAAAAATGGTGCTTTGTCACTGATTCCAGTCTCTTCAGCAAAAATCTGTTTGCATCAGCAGGGACTTCACAGGAGGGCAATAAAGCACTACTTTTCACTTTTAAAGACACACACAGCTCCAAAAAGAACCCATTCCTGCCCAAACACCCCCAGCCTCTGCACCCATATTTGCAGTTCAGCAATCCTGAATTTTACTCCCTAACTTGTGCAAGATGGCACAAGTGCCATCTCTGTGTTGGTCAGACAAAGGTATTTATTCCTTTCAAAGCTCTGATGGGTCAGGGCATTGGTGTGAAGGGAAAAGGAGCGTGAGCATGCAGTTTATTTAATTTTTTTATCTACCAGCCAGTGTAACAGACTGAGAGCCATTCTTTTGTACCTCCCTTGGCAGAGCAAGGATCTAGGGTTTGTACTTAACCACCCTTAATGAGCTGATTTGATTTTTTTAGAGGTTTTTTTGATTGTAAAGCCCCCCTTTCCTCCAGTGTCACCCCCTTGAGAACTCTCCTGTGCCTGACTTGCATGCAGGCAGCACAGAGGTTTATTTGTGCATGAGAAAGGACAATCACCCTTGAGAAAACTCTGCTCACAGCCTCACTTCCACAATTCCAAAAGCCATGAAACGTGTCCCTTCATTCTCTTAGCACTGGGCATCCCCCTGCTTGCTTTCTGCATGTTGCTGCACATCACAACACCCAGAGGGTGTGAGTCCAAACCTTTGGGTTTAATTCTTGGCAAATTGGCACTCTGAGCATCAACGCTTTTCCCTGTACAGGTGACAGAACCCAGATGGTGTGCAATGATCACCAGTTAGTGAACAGCCCTGCAGCCAGCCTCAGCCTGCCCCCAGTGCAGCACAGCAGGCTCAGCTTGTCTTCTCTCACATATTTTTTAGCTGTGCCTCTTGCCCCTCAGGCCCCTCTTTCCCATAGTTTTGAATCCCTTTCTTGATGCTGGGGCTGTTCAACCTGGGGAGGAGGAGGTTGTGTGGAAACCTCAGAGCAGCTCCCAGAGCCTGAAGGGGCTGCAGGGAAGCCAGAGAGGGACAATTCATCAGGGACTGGAGTGACAGGAGAAGGGGCAATGGGGACAAACTGAAAGAGAACAGGGAAGAATTCCTTCCTAATACCTAAATCTTAGTTTAGGTATTAGGAAGGAATTCTTTCCTGTTAAGGTGGGGAAACCCTGGCACAGAGAAGCTGTGGCTGCCCCTGGATCCCTGGAAGTGTCCAAGGCCAGCTTGGATGAAGCTTTGAGCAACCTGGGACAGTGGAAGGTGTCCCTGTCCATGGCAGGGGGTGGGACTGGGTGATTTTGGAGGTCCCTTTCAGCCCAAATCATTCCATGATAACCAGGAACAGGACAAGCGGCCTCAGGCTGTGCCAGGGGAGGTCAGGTTGGACATCAGGAGGATTTTCTTCCCAGAAAGGGTGGTCAGGAATTGGAAGAGCTGCCCAGGGGGGTTTGGAGTCCCCATGCCTGGAGGTGTCCAAGGAAAGCCTAGAGGTGGCATTCAGAGCTCTGGGCTGGGGACAAGGTGGGCATCAGTCAGAAATTGGACTTGATGATCTTGGAGGTCTTTTCCAGCCTAAATAATTCTGTGATTCTGCTTTAGAACTCCAGCAGAAGATTTGCCCACTCTCTCTTTGGTGGTGAGGAAGGACAGGAACGGAGAAGGAAAAGGAGATGTTGAGAATAAAAGCCCTGGCTGTGTGGTGCTGGAAGTGAGCTGGACTCCAGCCTTGGTCACAGTTTGGACTCTATGATGTCAGAGGTCTTTCCCAGCCTGAAAAGATTCTGTGATTTTACATTCACTGGACGTGAAAGACACAAATCCTGGAGACTCTGAGGTTCCCCTGAAGGCTGTGCTGGGAGAGGCACTGACATGAGCACGTGGCTGGAGGGGAAAGCTGGCAGAGCTGGCTGCTCTCATTGACAACACCCTGCACGTCAATCTCACTTGTTTCTCCTAATTTTAACTCCTCATTCTGTCATTATTACTTTTTCCTTTATTTTTTTCCTTTTATTTCCTTTTTCTGGGATACCTTCAAAACCTTCTAGAATCGAAACCTGCAAGTAAACAGAAAAACACAGGGAAGCACTCAAGTGACAGCAAAGATATTAGGACTGAAAAACTCAGCTTTAAATGAAATAAACCTCCAAACCCAGTAGTTTTTCTTGCGTTTCATATCAGCTGCTCTACAGATGTTTTACTCAATAATCAGCTTTTCAAAAGTATCAGCAGCTAACCAGGCACTGGCCAACACAGCTCCTGGATAAAGCAGGAATAAAAAGGGCATTTCACCCCAAATGTTGATGGAATTCTTACTCTGGGGGTGACACTGAAATCTGCAGGACACTTTCTGCTCAGATATTGAGAATTTAGCAACAGTGAGCTTGGACTCTTTGGATGAGTGATCCAATGTTTCAGCCATCATCAGCTGCACAGGAGAGCTGGAAAGAGAATTTTTATAGAAGTGTATGGTGACAGGACAAGGAGGAATGGCTCTAAACTGGAAGAAAGTAGGGTTAGGTTTGGTATTAAGAAGAAATTCTTCTCTGTGAGGGGCACAGGGTGCCCAGAGCAGCTGGGGCTGCCCCTGGATCCCTGGCAGTGCCCAAGGCCAGGTTGGACACTGGGGCTGGAGCAGCCTGGCACAGTGGAAGGTGTCCCTGCCATGGCAGGGGATGGGACTGGATGGTTTTTAAGGCCCTTTCCAAACAGAGCCTTTCTGAGATTGAAGATTCTACTGCAGAACCCTGTCTGAAGTGAGATGGCAGCAGTACAGATGCAGAATATCCCTGCAGCACTCAGGAGGGAAAATAAATCCAGAAAAGCTTTCTCAAAGCATCTTAGAGCAAGAAACATCCTTTCCAACCACGGCTGCACTGATTTTTTTAACAGCTTCCTGCCATGAACAGTGCAAAATCAATACCCAGGACAATCAAGTCAAGTTGATGATAAACATGATAGAAATGTTTTTTTCCATTTATCCTGCTGCCACCATGAGACTTTGGGTTTGCTGTAGGGCAAAAGCCCCTATTTGGAAAGAAACCTTGGTAATTTCAGAGATTCAAGTCATTTGGCTGCATGTCTGCCTCCAAAAGTGTTTTTCAAGCAGAGCTTTGCTGGTCATCGTGGTGTGGATGAGCAGATCTTCCTGCAATGTTCATCTCCTTTTACAGATGAGCCCAACCATGAGAGGGCCAAGAATACAGGGGTTAAAGAGTTTCCAACAGTTTCCAAATGTAAATATGTGGTTTACACTCAAATCAATAATAAATGTCAAGCCAAAAGGAATCAGGAATGACATTACTATTAGTGTAAACAGCACCAAGGAAATCTCATCACTGGCCAAGGTATTCACAAAGATATTTACCCCAAGCATTTGCATGGGTACCTAGAGTTTGGACATGACTGTCACTTGGATGTGTGGTATTTATTCCATTCCTGGTTTTCCAGATGAGAAATTGAGACATCTTTGTGTATGCAGAACAAATCACTGACAACTTGGCAGGGAATTCAGTTCTTGAAATAAATCCAGCTGTTACCTGGATGTTAACTTCAGGCAATCTCTGGAACAATAAAAGAGTACAGAAATGTGGCTGGTTAGACTGGCAGGAGACTGGCTGGTGGGTTTCTGCAAAAATACTCACTTTTCATAGTTAAAAAAAATAGTTTTGTAAAGCATAGTAACACTTGATACAATAAATTCTTCTGAGAGAACTCAGCACAGAAACCATGAAAGATTCAATCTCTTTTACTTTCTCTTATTACCAATAACAAGCTACAGCATAAATATTTTAGAATGCTACCCCATGTTTCTATAATTTGGGATGTACAAAGTTCCACAGAATGAGAGTTCATGTTATTGGCTTTGGGACAAATCTAACAGATTTGAAGGAAAAAAATATTTGATGTCTTAATTAAGGAACAATAAAGAATAACACTGGCAGAGTTCGATGCTCCTTTACTTCAGAGCCCAGAGTGCCACAGACAGCATTCAATTAAATAATAGTCTTAGCAATAAACAGTGACAATTGACACAGAACACCACACAACATCACTCCTTTGGCTCAAAGTAATTCCAGTTTGTGACTGAACAGCTGTTCAATGCAAAACAATAAATTAGCCTTCACATCCTGCAGCTGAAAAGGCAGGGAACGAATTGGCTGAGGGAATTTAGATTGCGCTGCGCATCCCTTGTGGTTTTATTTCCTGTGCAGTTTGAGAACAGCATCAGTACAACTTTGGTGTTCACCTGGAAAAGGTTTAGTTGGGAGAGCAGTCACTGCTTGTCCAAAGGCAGCAATTTCCAACATCCCCAAACAAAACCATTTGAAACAAAAAGCAAACAGAATAATTTGTCCTGGAATTTTTTTTCCCCATAGTGCAGCACACCCAAGATACATTTGTTTTCTCATAGGGATGTTAATAACAGGAGTAATAATAAAATCATGCTGGGAGATGATGAGGCACCACAGCAAGGGTTGTGGAGAAACTCACAATCCTGTCTCAAAGGAATGCTCTGGGAAGATATTTGGAGAAATTTCTACTGCCTGGCCTAACCAAAGCCTTTCCAGTGGTTATATTTTCCTCTCCTGAACATTATTTAAGGTAATTTTTACAGTAAGAACAATCAGGCACTGGAACAACCTTCCCAGAGTTGTCTCACTGGAGGTTTAAAAGATGCAATTAGACAGGTTAATGATGATTTCATGATTCTATCACCTCACCAATGCTCCCTTTCCCCAGAAAAAGGCTGGAGCAGATCAATCATCTTTTGAGGTGCCTTCCAGCCTGGGCTGTTCTATGATTTTGGGGATTCTGGGAGATTGAAGAGGGACATTTCTAAACCACTGCCAGAAAGGCAGATCCCATCCCATCCCTGGATGAGGTTACTGAGGCCAGGTAGCATGGGAGGGATGCCAAACCCACAAGAGTACAGATAACCAGGGGATTATATTAGGATAAGAGATTTTGTGAAGCCAGGGGGGTCTCTAAAGGTTGATTTCCTCAGAGTGCTACTCTTGTCAAACGGGAAATTCTGTGTTAAAATGAGGCAGGTTGATTCAATGCAGCACAAATGCCCCTGTCAGGAGTACCAACATGGAGAAGATGGACTCTGCTAAGGTAAAAAAACCTCTTCCTCCCCTATTAAAAGCCTAGTCACCATTTACATGTGTCTCAACAAAACTTAGATTGTGTAAAAATTCTGTATTTACCACAACAACTCAACCTAGGAGGTCTCCATTTCACAGAATCACAGAACTTGCTTTCCTTCCCTTTTTTTCCCCTTTTTCCACTCTGACAAAAGATGATGTACCTTTACCAATTAGGCACCAAACACAGAGAAAAAAAAAGTTCCAAGTACATAAACAATATATTTTATAAATAAAACCTGGCTTCCTCTTGCCCACTGGTTTGGAGTGAAACAGAAGCATTTGTGGGCAGGACAGCTGAGGAGAAACTGAACTAGCTCCAGCCAGTGGTAAAATAATCCAGGAACTGTACTCAGGATATTTGGAGGCTTTAAAAATATTACAGGATCTCACAGTATTTGTGTGAAAAGTACCAAAGGAAGACAGAAGTGAGCAGGGAATGAAAAATTCTCTTTCCCACATGGCAAAAAGGAACTTTTCTTTCTGATATGCATCCTTGTCCCATCAAACACTGATCCCTCCCATACAGGTATTTTATAGACCTGTTGACATTTAATTAAAAGTAGTTCTGCTCCTCTGACACACAAATTTGTCACCAGAAACCCCTTTGCTATCCCTGTCCTGCAGCTTTACACAAAGCTTTACACCAAGCTGCAGCAGGCTGAATTGCTGCTAGCACAGTCCAGGGTAAGGAAGCAAAAAAGACTTTTGCAGAATATCCACAGATGTTTTATTCAGCTGCATGGTGAGATGATCAGGTCCCAGACACACACACACACGGAGGGTCTGGCTTTTTCTGTACAGGGGCCTGGGCCTGAGCCTGGTCTCAGGGCAGTACAAAGGTGAGGGCCAGTCAGGGAACAGGGAAGGAGTGGCTCAGAAACAGAGGAACAGACACAGGAATAAAGGAAGGAGCCAATGGGGTCTAACAGATTTCTGGGGGAAGATTCTTGTGTCTCCTTAGACCAGGGGATGCCCCCCAGGGTCTCCACACTAAGCCTCTGGACACAGCCATGGCACCAGGAAAACCACTGGAGGTTAATTTTAATATCCAGACATTTATACTTTGGGAGAATTTGTTGTAGAGATTGTAAGGCAACCTTTAGGGGTCAAGTAGTCCATGTTAATAGAGACTTTCAAAGCTGAAGTCGTTCCTACTCATATTTCTGCTAAAACATAGAACTTTTTCCATAAATACAATAAGCACAGACAGGATTTTTACAACCATCAATCCATCCTCACTGTCAGACACAGCAGCTGCTTTATCCTCAGGGAAAAAAAAACCCTCAGCACAGTTCTGTGGCTCAGTCTGCTGCTCCAAAAGACCTTGTTCTTCAGCCACAGCAGGGTTTGCCCTTCAGGACTTCAAGCAACAACATTTTTTATATATATATATATGCATACTCTATATATATATATATTTAGTTTATTCCTTTTTGCTACCAGCTCATTTTCCTTGTGGGAATAACATTATCTTCTTGACATGCAAAAGTCCAGACTGCACATCCATGGATGGAGAATGAAATGAAGGGGTTCTGTCAGCACAGATGTGTTTGACCCAACCCAGGATTTGCATCCCCAGCAGCCATGCAAACCTCATCCATTATACACTGGGGCACACTGACTCCATGTGGCAGGACACAGAATATGCTTCAGACATTCCTTTTTCTTGCACTTCACACAACCTTGTTTGTGGCTGTGAACTTTGGAAATAAATTTTGGGAATAGAAGGAACAGAATCCATGTTTTTTCCGTGAGAAGCAGCGACATGGGGATGAAAGAATTAATGAATTGTATTGGTAACAGTGTTTTTCACACAAATACTCACCAGGAACACACAGTAAAATACAAAGGCTATATATATACATATATATATATGTGTGTGTATATATATATATGCATATATATAAAAAGAATGCTTTCCCAAATGTTTATTACAGGATGAAATAAGTCCAATTGAAAAAATTCACATCCTGAACTTCATCAAAGGGGACTGATTGCTCTTCAGGCCTATTAGCTACAAGCAAGATTAAAAGAGCAGGTTTGAAAAATTACATAAAACTGTATCACATTCTTCTTTCACTTTGTAATTGGTTTGATTGAAACTGGACTAGAAGACTATAAAAGTTTGCTTCAGCATTAGACCAGCTCTGTAGCTCAAGTAGCATTAACACTGTCTGATGGGTACAGGGTTTTTCCCATAACTAAAATGGAAATAATTGGTAATATTTTCTTCCACACCACACCATGCCCACCCCAAAACCCCAAATTCCACCTACTTTACCAATGCTGTTAGATACAAGACCTAAAGAAGGTAAGAAACAAAGACAATTCCTGTTTTGCCCCTTTGTGTCTTCACTTTCAGTCTCTACCAGCTGCCCACAAGGACATTCCACCCACTGTGAACAAGGTCTTCAGATGCCATTTCCAGACTTGGAAAGAAGTGACATGGTATGGCTGAAAGGGTTTTTGTACATCTCAAGTGTTGCAAAAATTGATATTTCCCTGCTTTGGTTAAGGTGTGTGATGATGCACCTGTCAAACCTCAATCTTACTGCACAACTGCAAGGGGATGCTGAACTTGTGGTGAGATTTTTTTTCCCCCTTTCTGTTATTTTTTAAGACAGTGCAAGGTCTAGAGACAGCGTGAGAATCTCCGACCGGGGTGCTGCAGGTTGATCTGCCAATTCCAGCTTCAATTTCATCCTATAAACATTTTCCCATCTCTGTTTGGTATCCAGCAAACAATCCTAGTGTTTTTCTGTGTCTCTGAGTACTGCCCGTGCCAGCACTTCCCCAAGTATAAATTAATAGCTGTACATCTGCTGCTGCTGCTGCTCTGTCTGGACGGGCTGCTGGCCCGGCTGCGGCGGCGCGGCCGGCGCCGGGGGCTGCAGCACATCAGTCTGGGGCACTGACCTCCAGCTCAGGGGGTGCTGTTCTGTGCCCTGGCTGCCCAGGGGAGCAATGGAGTTCACCAGGGTGGTCAGGTTTATGAAATGGGCCACGGACTGAGGGTTGGGCACCTCGGGCTGGGGCAGGAGCTGAATGTCACTGTGGCGGTTGTGCAGCACGGCCGAGCCGCTGAGCGTGTCGAAGGTGACGGTCAGGATGGAGTTGTCCAGCTGCAGCTGGCGCTCCGGGGTGCCCAGGTGGCCCATGGCCACGGGCTGCAGGTTGGTGAAGTGGGTGCCAGCTGCCGTGGTGATGGGGGTGACGGTGATGTTGGTGAGTCCCACGGAGCTGGAGGGGGCTGTGACGTTCGGGTCGCTGAGGGTCACCACCACCTGAGGGGAAACACAAAGGTGACGCTCACATGGTGCCAGCAAGAGAAGTCACACACAGGTGGGAAAGTAGGACACTTGGAATGTACCGACTTCCATGTGTTGGAAGTTGATACATTCCAAGATGGTGATGGCAGAGAGGGATATGCAACATTCAGACAAACAGACAAATTAACTTTTACTCTTTTAATCCCAGCTTCAGCCAGTGACATCTAGCAAACAAGCTGATGCTAACACCAACAAGTTGGTGCTAACAACAGAAGATAGGAAAACAAACATGAGGAGCTTATTGGTCCAACTTCTTGGGTTTTTAAACCCATCTTTGTGTTACCACAATTTATCCAATCAGCTCCAAATCTTCCAACCACTCTTTTGTGATGTTTTGTGAACCAAAAGAAGGATTATCCCTCTAAGCAGTGCCACCCATCACCCTCCTCCTGCAGCTCACCTGTTGGATGCTCTGTACAGCTGAATTGGTCTCATCTCCAACATTCCCTGTGAATTCACCTTCCTTCTCTGTGTATTCACTGAAGGCAGGGTCCTCAGGCACTTGAGCTTCCTCCTCCTCACCTGACTTTTGTTTTTGTTCCTGGCCATGTTTAGGAACCTTTGCGTGCTGCTTCCCTTCTGGGAGTTCACTCTGTTTCCCTTCTGGGAGTTCACTCTGTTCCAAGGCTAATTCCGGCTGGAGCAACACATTTCCAAACAAAACATCAAGTCCTTTTGCTTAGTGAGGTTCCAAGTAAGAGACAATCACCTAAAGCTGGTCTACTGTCAGTTCTCAAGCAAAGAAACAAACTTGAGCAAAATCCTGACTCCAGGGATTGAGACCTCACCCTGTAATTACAATCTGCCTGTTATACAACCAAGCAGATCAGCAGCTTGTGGCTGCTTGGACATGTTCCACTGGGGCTGACTCTCTAAAAAAGCACATTCCTCACCCATCAGCCCACGCCCAGCTGTGCTCTGTACCCAAAAAGTGCTGTCCCACCTCACCCTGCAGCAGGCCTGGAACTCACCTGAACAATCCCAATTGAAGAGGCATCAATGGTGGTTGTCTCTGGCAGTGGCTCTAAATCATCAATCCTCACTGAAAGGATCTGAACACAAAGAGGTGTCAGCTGCAGAACTGCAGCACTGCAAACCACAGTCAAACAGCACAGCACTTCCCTAATAAACCCCATCACCAAGAAAAAGTGATGTAATCCAGCACTTTACATACAGTATTTAATACAGGAAGTTAACTGTGGCTTTTTAAAATAACCTTTTGGCATATCACCTTTTCCCTCTTGCTGAAATCCAGCAAAATTTAAACACAGTAAAAGAACATGTCCATTTTCATATTCTGGACAGAACATAACCCTCTGGGACGTGATGAATTCTACAGAAAAATTTTCTTGTTTGGAAAAAAAGAAGTATTATGTTAGAATTTCAATTTATAAACCTATCAACTGTGTCCTACTTCATTATTTTCAGATGAATCTACACATCTCAGCTCATCAAAGAACAGAGACAAATTGCCCTCAGGATTTCAGATATGTAGCTGCATTTTAAATCCCCAAATCAATAAACAGAGCATTTTGTTGACTTCCTTCACGGTCATCATACTAAAACAGCAAAGCAATGCTAATGAAAAATTGGTAGTTAAAAAAAAATTTAAAAGCCTCAAAGGGAACAGACAAGCCTTAGTCAAACCTAAACAGGAAATGCTGAGGAGAAATACAGTATTTAGAAGACAGAAAAAACTCTGCTGGGGTCAGAAAAAAAAATCCCTCTAATCCAGATTCTCTCCAGTCAGCATTTATCTTTGATGCTGAGAATAATTTTGTATCATCAGCAGATGCTGCCATCACCTCTCTATTCACCACTTCTTTCAGATCACTTCTGAATACAGAGAACACAATGGGGAACAAAGAATCCATTATACTCACTAATGGATGGAGACAAAACATGAAAAAACATATATTTAAGCCAGGGTAGAAAAAGAAAAGAAATTTAAATAATCAGAAGAACTTCACTTTTAGGGACTGACAATCAGATAGTGAAATGGCTGATTAGTTAAGTCCATGTTTGACAGATACTACTTAAAATTGGGCCCAAAAGAACAGGAAGAAAAAAAAAAAAGAGGGAAAGACAGTAATCTCCTTTCAAGTCACCAAAGGCCATGAACATTCTTAAAAAAAAAATAAATTTAAAAACTTCCACCACTCACCTCTGGGTGTTTACGCCTCATGTGTCGACTCATGGACGCCCTGGTAGAAACCTTGGTGCCACACAGCTGACAGCTCTGGGCTTCCACCTTGTCATGGGTGAGCTGGATGTGCTTCTGCAGCATGTAATCAGTGACATACTTCTTGTCACACACTGAACATGTCCACTGTTTTCCTACTGGTGGCAGAGAGAAGGAAGGAAACCCAATGGATGAGCATCACATTGCCAACACCTCAACAAGAGCAAGAATTTATGTTTGGTAACAGGAGGTGCAAAGTTAGTTCCAAGACTGACCAGTCTAAATCAAAATTAAGGAGCAAAATAAAGGAATTTTTGCTGGATACTGTTTTTTAGAGGGTTTACCTGTGTGAATCAGCTTGTGAGTCTCCATTGTGTTTCTCTCGCTGAACGTCTTGCCACAGAGCTCACACATGAAATCTTTGATTCCTGCATGAAAAGCACATTTGGCACCTGTAAAAGCAGCCTAAAAGTATCTGGAACAATTCTGAGTTTTGTATTAGTAACATTAAAAAAATAAAAATCACAGACAAAAAAAAAAAGGCAGAAGGCACCAGCTATTTTCAGCTAAACCAGTCCCATATATCCAGCAGAAAATAAATCCCAGAGAAACTGATGTGGGAAGTAAAATTTTGTTTTGGGAAATCACAACCTGAAACTAACTTAAAACAAACCCAACACCGTAGAGCTACCCTAGACCAAGAAACTTAAAGAAAAGGAAAACCTGAAACCAACTAAACTGCATTTATTTGTAGAACACACGGTCCTGGTTGAGGACAGGACAAAATCTCACTTTTCAAAGAGCAGAACATGCATATTTTATTAGTTTTCATCATACTCTCTGACTGCTTTAGGTAAGAGTTCACCTGGGAAAGATTTAACTGATTCAGTGCAACTTTTGTCCATCTTTGGAGCCCTCACCTGTGTGTCTCTTGTAATGCTTCAGCATGTTGACTTTCTGTGCAAATTTTCGGTGACATTCCTTGCACTCGTATTCCTTAATCCCTTTGTGCAGCTTCATGTGGTGACGAAGGGCATGTTTTGTCTTCATTCCTGTGAGGCAGAAGGCACAGGACACTCAGTCCACCACTCCCACCTTCAGGGGGGAAATCAGGCTCATGTTGTTAACTAACAGCTCTGTTTTATATTTGCTGCGAGTCCACAGTTCCATATTTTTAATTGTTTATGTAGCAATGCACTTCATCATTACTATTTTAATTCCAGAAAAAAAAAGTTCTGGAAAACATCTGAGTAATCACTAACAGAGAAATGAAACAGCAGGGACAAGCAAAGATAAAACATCCTTAGAGGTGTCAGACTAAAATACCAGCTCAGACTTGTTCAAGTTATAACACGAGAAATTAAAAAAGTCGAAGTGACTTTGACTCTTAAGGCTCTTACAGAGAGAAATAACTCTCTTTTTTAAGCCTGTAAACAGCCCAGAATGAAAATATCAACTTGCATTCACTTTTATGCTGCATATCAGGCATTCCTCAACCTGACAGAAACAAATGCTACTAAAATCAGTGTTGTGTTATAGCCCATGAAACCAAACTGTACAAAATTAGGGTGGCTCATGTAACAACAATGCTCCTCATTATACATTTTCTACCCGCCAAAAATGCAGGATTTACAGCAGTGCCACTATTCTCAGCATGGAAGTTGTTTTAATTCAGATATTCACCTGCTACTCAGTATCACAATGAATGGAAAACAAGGCATCAGACATACCTTTGCCACACTCTGCACACAAGTATTCTCGGATATTATCATGGACTCGCATATGTTCTTTTAGCATGTCTTTTCTAGCAAATGATTTGCCACATTGCTCACAAGCATGACTTTTTACACCTTGAAAATAAATTTAAAAGACAACGTAAACAAAAAAAAATGTTAATGAGTAATGTGCATCTCCTAAAAGTTGATTCAAGTGGTGAATTAGAGGGCAACAGCCCACCTAGGCTGACAAGCACACCTTTCATGGATATTGTAGCCCAAATTAAATTAGAAGACTTTGAAGAGAGGAAAAGCTAGCTTTTTGTGTGAGAATAAAAAGATGAAGCCTGAGGTAGGAGAAGACTGAATAGCATGAAATAGTAATGAGCTGTTAAAAATGATTTTGCAATAGCAGGTTTCAGCCTGTGTAATGGTGAGAAGGTGGCATGGATAAGAATTTGGGGAAGAACAGAACACAGAATTAGGTAAATCCTGCAAACATATTAACTAGGAATTTGGATTGTGTGTCCAGATCAAATCTCTTCATTAATATTACCTGCTTTGAAAACTGGCTTACTCTAGAAAAATAAATATTATATTTGTCTGATTGTAACAGAGTGAAAATCCTCTAGCAAAAAAAAAAAAAAAAAAAAAAGGTAAATCCTGCAAACATATTAACTAGGAATTTGGATTGTGTGTCCAGATCAAATCTCTTCATTAATATTACCTGCTTTGAAAACTGGCTTACTCTAGAAGAATAAATATTATATTTGTCTTATTGTAACATAGAGTGCAAATCCTCTAGCAAAAAAAAAAAAAAGGCAGGTACTGGTAACAGAAATTTCGCTTTAGTATTGATAATTATAAAGAAATAACATTTTTACCTGTATGTATAAGCTTATGTCTTTCCAGATTTCCTATACTGTTAAAAATCCTCCCACAGATTTCACATGGATGGATGTATCTGAAACCAAAGAGACCAAAAACTGATTCTTCTCTTGAGGAAGAGGTGATTCTCAGGCATCTCTGTCATTCAGTATATTTCATTTGCTAATACTAATTACTCCAAAAGCTCCTTGAAGCACAAAAGCTTTTCTAAATGAGCTTTAAGAAACCCCCAAGTTGACTGCAAGCTTGGAGCAGTCTGGCATTGCTATACGCTCCATTTTTTTTCAAAACCATTTATTAAAATCACTGATTTACACTCTGCAAAGCCCAAACTGGGGGGGCTGCTGACTCATCAATCCGTGTGAAGCCAATCACCAGCGACACAAATTTCAAACTCGCAATAAACACTTTAACCCCCCATTTCACAGTTATTTGAGCACAGCCAAATTCTCTCAGGTGGCAGAACCACTAGAACTGCAAGCAGGCAGCTCCTCTCAGTGGAACAAGCCTTACTTCTGCACGTTGGGGTCGGGCAGGTTCTCCCTGTGGATGACCATGTGCGCGTGGTACGTGGCCTTCAGGGCGAAGTGCCGGTTGCAGATGCTGCAGCCATAACCCTTCTCCTTGTGCACGTCCATGATGTGCTTCAGGTACTCCTTCCCTCTGCCAAAGGTCAGCTGGGGAATGAACCAATAGTGAATGGAAGGGGGAAAAAAGTGCTCAGGCATGGCAGTGAGCAGGTAACATTGAGCATAAATATCCTGTGTAGCACTAAAATCCTGTGTGCCACCGGATGAACAACCTGGTTGTGACAGCTGGGTTTAGGCCTGAAACTCTTTGGATATTACAAAGAGTAATTGTAATTTACAGGACATCAATTCACTCTTTTCTCTAGCTGGAGATGGTGTCTCCAATTCTGCACAAGAAGAGGACCTTGAGTTGTTTGTGCACTGAGGAACAGCCAGGTTTAACCTCCAACAGCTCACCTTGAGTACCGTGAGCAATTTTGGTCACCACAAAAATCATCCCCACCACAGGGATGATATTAAACTACTGGAGATGTCCAGAGGGCTACAAAGATGGTGAAGGGTCTGCAGGGGAAGCCTTGTGAGAGCCACTGAGGGCACTTTGTTTGTCCAGCCTGGAGAAGAAGAGGGTGAGGGGAGACCTCACTGCAGTTACGGCTTCTTGTGAGGGGCAGACGAGGGGCAGGCACTGATCTCTGCCCTGTGGGGACAGTGACAGGACCCAAGGGAATGGCCTGAAGCTGTGTCAGGGCAGCTTTAGGTTGGGTATTAGGAAAAGGTTCTTCCCCCAGAGGATGGTTGGGCACTGAACAGGCTCCCCAGGTTCTGGTCACTGCAGCAAGACAGAGCTCAAGGAGCATTTGGACAATGATCTCAGGCCCATGGTGGGATTCCAGGGGCTGCACAGAGCCAGGAGCTGGACTCAGTCAGCCCTGAGGGTCCCTTCCAGCTCAGCTTATTCTGTGATTCTGTAAGAATGAGGACATCACAGATGGAGAAATGCCTGCTGGGCTCTAGGGGCATGGTGAGCTCCTGACTGCACCGTCAGCTTTGGCAGCAGCTCCTGAAGGGCTGGAATTTCCAGCACTGCACTACTGAGCTCCAGATGTGCACATCCAGATGTGCTCCAGCATGCCAGGGTGAAGTGCCATAATGACATGGTCTTTTGCTCCAGTTCTGGAACTAGTCAGGGCATTTCTAACAGCACTGCACAGCTTGGTGAAGATGTACTTTGAGACCAGGGAAACCAGATTTTATGAGAGCTCAGAAGAGAGATTTCTCCAGGAGTTACTCATATTTGTTCTCAACTCCCTTTGGCTGTTCATTGTCCCCATCTCCTCACATCAAATCCTATTTCCCACAGCTGTGCCCTTACACAACTGTTTACTTTAAAAGCACTTAAAAAACCCCCAACTTCCCAAAAAGATCTTTCTGATTTGAATGGCCCAACTGCCCTCACTTGGAAGCACAGAATTTTATATAGTTTATGAACCCATGAAGTGTCAGGCAAGAAAATCAGCACAGTGAAAGCAAGAACATGATGAAGTGCTCTGACACCACACTTTCACATGTTTACTGGCACAAACTTAAATAATTTTGCACTTAAGAGCAGCTCCCAGATTAAAAGAAAACTGAAATATTATTCTCTCCAGGTCTTAAAATGAAGATAAATTAAGAACTTTTACCACATTAAGTGTGGGCTGTGAAATAAGCTCTGATTTCCAGGGGTCAATTCAGTGGCTGAACAACCAAAAATTCCCTGTCCCCGTGTCAGTTTTGCTGTTCTCACTGAGTGGTTTTGCACCCCACCTGCCCCCAGCACAGTGTGCTCACCCAGGGAGGCCACAGAGCCCTTAAGGACCCATTATTTCTTTAGAAAATGGCAAAAGCCACACAGTGAGAGGTTGAAAAAGTCTTCCTCTCTCAGCTGACAACTGAATGAACAACATTCCAGCAGCACTTCCAAGACCATCCTGTTAGTAATGAAGCAGGGAAAGAATAAGCAGTCACACTGAACATAAACAACAGTCTTACTCCAGTTTGGAGGAGCTCTGACCTCATAAAAATTAATCAATTTGTGGACTCTATCAATCAGAAATGCTGTAAGCATTTGAAGTTGCACATAATTGAAAGGCAGTTTGAGATCTGAGTGTTCCTTTATCAATCCTTCCTCCTGCTTTGCTTGTTCTCTTCCTCACAGGAAAAAGTGAATGTGTCTCTTTCCTTTTTTCAGTATTTATCATCCCCCTTACTGGACACCACCTCAATTCTTATGGAATAGCCTCAGTTCACAGATTAGAGAAAACAGCACTGCAGAAGACAGCAGTCCTGAGAACTTGCCTTCTCTTTGAGAGCCCTTAATGTTATTTAAAATTCTGAATTATTTATAGATACCTCCACTCCCTCCCCCATCCCAAAACAAGTTAATTTGAAAGTATTTAAAGCTACCTGGCACCTTTTGCAGCTATACTTGTGAGGCTCAGAATCTGCACTTTCATCAGAGTTGTCATCATTTTCCTCTGATGAGATTCCAATTTTACCAATGAACTCTTCCCTCTGGTGATCATCCATTAGAGCTATGTCCTGTGTAAAGGGAAAGAATATTTTGTTTCAACAGATTAAAATTCTTCAAAAAGTAAGGCCTGGTCACCTTTTGCTTCCATGTAGACTGCTTTGTATTAACTGCTGTAATAGTATTTATTTAAAATATCCTCCTGCTTCATTCAATCCAGAGTTTCCCTGTCCAGGACCACATAAGGAATAACTTATTCAAACAAATAATATTAATTTTTCTCCGTATAAAAGGAATTTAATGTAAAGAGACTCAGCTGGGACAATATTACATCAATAAAAGCATCTTTATGAGCACCACTAAGTGACAGAATTCCCTTTTAAGTTCATTTAATTCCTTACAATTCAGTGTTGACAAAACAATCTGCCTTCTCTAGTTGATTATTAACACAATACCTTAAAATGGACATGAATGTGATCTCTCAGCACATCCACCCTGAAAAATTTACGTCCACAGATCTCACAGGTGTATTTCTTGTCTCCATGTGTTAGAAGGTGTTTGTTCATGTTGCTCCTACATGAAAATATCTAAAAGGAAAAGAGAAGGAAGGAAGGATTTTTGGATCATGTCCATGCAACCTATCCAGTGGAGAGCACAGAACACATTTACTGTCTTTTTCCATTCATTCTGGCCAGAAACATGCAGGAGCTCCTGTTAGCAGTCTGCCTCAGAACTGCTGGCATGGCAAAATCCAGGGGTAGAGTTCCAAGGAACTGACTGAAACTACCCATTTGTCAGGGGTGGACTTGCAAAAAAAGCTGCAGCAGAATTACACAGAGTAGAATTTGAAATATTTAGACAGTGTCTTTTGAATCACCAATGTTCCATCTATCTCTAAAAAGATACAGCCACAAAATCTACCTTGACTGATATGAAACATATCCCAAGCATCAAAATCAGAGGCCTAACAGCAGCTTAAGAGATCTTGAGTACCTTCTGCACCATGAATCATTAAACACTTATAAAATCACAAGTTAAACCCACACTCCTTGTGACAACAATGACTTAAGATCATGAGTGTTGAACACTCAAATGCAACCATGCCATGACTACACCATGAACTCACTTTTATTCCCCATGCAAGAGGATTCCCAATGCACAGAGTCAACTCCAGCTGTTTACAACCAGTCAGAAAAACTCCATTTTAAGTAACATAAGCCATGATATTGCACTGACACACACAGAGGCCATGTGACACTCTGCATTGTGCTGGGTGTCCTGAGGAATGTTCAGGCCTGAAATGAACTTTTGCTCTTATCTTTGCGCTAACAGCTCCCACCATCCATGGCCACAGTGGGCTTGGATAAATCAGGTGTTTGAAGAGGAATTTCCTGACTGGACTCCACACCCTCCTTGGGCAGCTTTTCCAGAGCTCTGCCACCCTCAGTGTGAGGAATTTCTTCCCCATGTTGAGGTGGAACTTGTGTTTTATTTTATGGCCTCTGCTCCTCGTGCCATTGCTGAGCACCACGGAAAAGAGTCTGGCACCATCCTCTGACACCCCCTGGAGATGTATGGATGTATGGAAATGTATGGATGGATCCCCTCAGTTCTCTCCTGTCTGGACTGAACTGCAGCACCCTGGAGCCATAATGCAGAGCCTCTCATGGCACACTGGCACAAGCTCCTACCTTCCCACACACGGGGCAGCCCGAGGGCTCCTTCTTGTAGCGAACCATGTTCTCCGTGCTGTGCTCAAAGTCTTCTCTCTTCACACGCCTCACCCCTTAACACAGCAGTCCCCATCAAAAAAAAAACCAAAACAATAAATAAACCATGGCTTTCCACTCCACTTTCCACTCCTGCAGGCCCTGGGAAGAGTGAAACACTGGGAAGGGGCTCAGTGCAGGATTGAATTGCTAACAAAAGGGTGATTTCTAAATTAAAAGTGGGTTTTAAGAATATAAAAGCAGTCTGCCAAACTTATGTGTTATGGCTTATTGGTTATTAAAGCAACTGTGAAGTGACTGAAGACACTTTTAACAAAAATATTTTTGTCAACACCAGGAAACAGATCTAGTAGGCCTTGGCACTTCAGTCTGGCATCTGGCCCAGAAATTCACCCCCAATAAGAAAGAGAAGAGAAGTCTCTAAGGAGAGATGCAATTATCCAGCATCAGCTGTAATGCTCAGAGAGGATTTCAGATCTCCTTCTCTGCTACATTCAGGAGGGCAGAGCTCCTGCTTTGCTGTGACAGCTGAAAATGAGACACTGCCAGTGTCATACAGCCCCTTGTGCTCTGGTTCATGACATAAAATAAACAATCTGGCTGCTTTTTAAAAAAAAAAAATCACTTTGGTTTTATCATCTAAGTCACTAACCACATTCTGATACATGTTGAGCAATGTACCAACTTTTTCCAGTTTTTGAGTACCTGCAATATCCTTATAATTTTGAACAGTAAACTCTCATAACCTCATTTTGATATATTCTCAGTGTTTCAAAGATAACATGCTGACACTGTATTTATATAGTAGTCACTCTCAGCTGTACATGGGAAGTTATCTCTCTACCTTCAGATTTTCAAGTTACCACACAAATTTTAAAAAAGAAAGAATAGGATGCAAAATAAAAAAATACATAATTAAAATCAGCCAGTCTAAACTGCTGCATAATAAGCCATGCAACTTCCACATGACTGTTAACAGCTCTGGACCCACTACTGTTATTTTTCATAAATGTCACATTTTTCTGAACCTTGAAACTCTTGATCAGGTAACTGATTAAAAAAAAGACAGCCACCACTCAAGAAGATCTAATGTACACTATCATTTCTTAACCTGCCCACCTCCACTGCTGTTTCAGGAGAAATAATTAGGTTGATCTGCAGTAAATTTACCTTCCAGGTGCCGCCTCTGATGCTCCAGCATGACATCCTTCCTGTAAAACATCTTATTGCAGATCTCACATGCAAACTTCTTATCCCCATGCTTCTTCTTGTGTTTTGAAAGGTTGCTGTTTGTAGAGAAGAATCTGAAACACATCTCACACTGGAATGTCTTGTCATCTGTAAGCAAGAGAAACATGCAGCTCTTTACAGCTGAAAGCAGGTTTTGTATGTTTGTGAGGCAGGTGGTTCCTCTGCTGGATCTGGGTTTTAAACATGGAATCCATCACTGTGCTCTAAGGGCAATTACCTGTGTGATTCTGGACTGAACATTATTGTGGGGCCATAAAAGTAACCAGGCTGTCATTTTCTGAGCAGAAGATCACAGCAGAAATAATATGAGTAACCACAAGGGATAGCAATGGGAGAAAATCACAGGTTGGAGTGATACTAAGAAAAAAACATTTAGAGACTGCTGCAAGTATAAAGCTGGAGAAAGCTGAAGAAAACTGTAATCCCAGAAAACTGCAAATTACCACTAATACTGGTCCTATTTCCAGTTCCTCTGTTTCAGAGGAGTGAGGTGGAACTTAGTTTCAGGGAAAAAAAATTAAACAGAGATGATGACAGATTATCTGTGAACAAAGGAAACACCAGTGAGGTTATTACACAGGTGAGCAGGAGATAAAAAAAATAAAAATCCCCAATTCCTAAGGGGATGTGTTGCTCTACAGATTATTGGTTACACTTTTCTTATCAAAAAAACAGGTTGTGATGATGAAAAAATTTAAATCCCTACTCCCCTTCTATAGTTTCTCTGCTGAGATGGATTTGGGGACATCTTCCCAGACTGGAGCAGAGATGCCAGAGGAACAGTTATCCATTCTCACCTGTCCTGCAGTTGTGGAATTCCAATGCACTCTCTATCCGAAAGGCCTTTTCACACGTGGTGCACTTGTATCTGTACTCACTGTCCACCTGAGGATCACCAACAGGAAAAGCCAAGTCACATCTGACAGAGAAATTCTAACCCTCAAATACCTCTTCAGTTTTCTGTCCTTTCCAATTTTAATCCTTCAATTTATCTGCACAGTGGTGAAAATTCTGATGCTGTATTATGCTGCCATGTTTCCACATCTGAGCTATAAAAAACCCCAAAGACCATGCTCCTGTGTGGATGTGGAATATCTCCCTGATATCCCCCTGATTCAACACAGACACAGAATGTTTGAGAAGCAAGATGTGATCTGACTCATCTTCCAGAAGAAGTGGCAGCAATCTGAGAGTTAAGGACCCTGGTGCCAAGCAATAAAGGAAACTGTCACTAATAAGGTGCCACTACATGTGTGTTTAATATTTTTATGGCAGCAGCATCAACAGGCAGAGTTCACACATTAAAGGAATGGTTAGTGGGGAGAAATCAAACAGGAGAAGCAAACAAGAATGGAAGAACCCTATTTAGCAGCATAACTCAAGTCAGATCTCACCTTTGTATCATACAGGTCCAGCTAACTCCAGCTTGTCTTGCTGGAAATGATGCCTGAAAGCAATTTTCTATAGGAAAAGGGCTTGCACATGCTCAAAAGCACTTTTCAAATCTGTCAATTATTCTAAGATAGGACAGAGAGGGGATGCTAACATCTTCACTCACATGGAATAGCTGCTCACATGAGCAGGGCATGCTCACACCTGGAATCTCACTGTGCCTTTCCACATAAACCCTGCAAGAGCCCCTTCTACTCACTTCATTCCTGCTGTGCTTGTATGAAACGTGCTGCTTCAAGCTCTCCTTCCTGCTGAACAGCTTTGCACATTCGTCACATTTAAACAGTTTGTCACCTGAGGGGATCAATCAAGATGAAAGGGAAGCAGTCAGTGATTGATAATAACCAACTCCAGGCAAGGCAGGGGAAACCAAAGCACAAGCAATTGCAAACACACAGGCTAGTGATGAAAAATTTAGTATTTCAGGAGATCTAACCAGTGGATTTTAACCATTTCCAACAATTTTGGTTTAGTTTTCCCACCCTTTTTCAGTGATGATTTTTCACAGAACCCTTAGAATAGGACACAGAACCCTGGAACTGCAGATCACAGGTGGAAAAACATCTGACATTTACACAGCTATGTTACCCATGTGCCTGTGAAGGTGGGGATGATATTTATGTATCAATTTAAAGGCAGTAAAAGCTTTGGAAAAAAACATCACATCCTTGCCTTCATTTAAAATATGTACCTAATTCAAATTTTAAATACTTTCAACTTCAATTCTGCATTATCTATTAATAGATAACTATTACCTTCTCATGCTTTGGTCTGAAAAATTAAAACAGTTTCCTAGAGAGACTTAAAAGCAAGAAAAAAGCAAAACCAGCTTTTATAAATACATATCCCAGTACCTAAAACGAGCCCTGCTGTTTAACTCCAAAGTGGAACCAAGACAGAAAATCAATGCCCAGGCAAGGGAAAAGCCAACCCACCGTGAGAACGGATGTGCCTGCTGAGGTTGCTGCTGTTCTGGAAGATCTTACTGCAGATGCTGCACTGATAGACCCTCTTGTGCTCCCCCAGCTGCTTTATCAGCTTCCTCCGAATCCCGTGTCTACTGGAGAGAATTAAACTTCTTTTGAGGGACATGGTGTTTTGGTGATGAGCAAACCTACTGGATTAGAGAGAAAGGCAGGGACTGAAAGCTAGCTCACAGGTTGTAAGAGAGTTCCACCAGCTAGCAAAAACTAGAGGAGTGTTAAACTCAGCTCCTGGCAGGAGGGAGGGGGCCTGGATGGAGCTTCCCCTGCTGCAAGGTGCTCCCCTGGCCACCCCCTGGAAGCTGCAGATGTCACTCATTCCAAATTTTCTTCATCCAGAACCAAGGAGGCAAAAAAGCAGCAGCAGAGATTCTCTTTGCAGGCCCCTCAGAGGGACAGAAAGGATCTGCTCCACTCTGAAAACAGCAGCACTAGCTCAGCTTAGGAAGCTTGGCAGCCCCCACGTCAAAGCTGTGTTTGGGCAGAGGGCAGCAGGGTGTCAAGCAGCACTGTGCCATTTCCCAGCACAACCACCTGCTGAAATGCCTTTTTGATGGCCTGTGTCTGCTAAGGACTTCAATATAGATCATTACTAGTTAATTCATAAAAATTGAGTGCTCTATTATAAAAAAAATAATTCAAAAGGCCAATTTTACCAAGACAAAAAGACATAAAAGAATCTGAATTAATCATGTGATACTTAAGAGTCTCCCTGAGCTTCTGTTATACTGAAGTTTTCCCCTCCTACTGCTCAAAATCTGGAGTAGCACAGCAAAATCAACATGAAGTCATTCATGAGCTAAGATGACAAGCAAGACTGAATAATAATGATTAACAAATTCTGAAAGAAAAAATCTCTTTGCCTGTCTTATCACTGACATTCAATAGGAGTAAATTTCACCTTGCAGCTGCAGGAGGCTTTTGGAAACACAGAATAAAAGCAGTAACAGGATGAAAAAAGAAATTTTCATTTATGTTGTGTTCCAAATCCTACAAGTGGCACTCAAAATCACCTCTTGAAGCAGCAACAGCAGCATCACACAATTTTATGCTGATAAAAAAGAGCATCTGTGTGCCCAGGAGCTGAGCAGAACTGTTGCATGCCACATCATCTTAGATACAAGTAAGAGGAAATTGTGCATCCCAGAACACTTACTTTGTCACTGGGCTGATGCTGTTTGTGGTGCTGGGCATCCTTCCTAAAACCAGATCCATAATCCTCTCCTCTGGAACAGGAGGCAGGGCCACCTCCTCTGGAGGGACCTCAGTGACAGCGTCAGCCGCACGTTCCACTGCACACACCCCAAAGAAATACAAACAGCAGTAATGTGGACAGCTGCAAGCAAAACCTCAAATGCAGAATTTGTGATAACAGGTGGCACTGGACAAATCAATTCTCCACAAGAGAAGAATTCAAAGAATCATAGAACAGTGTGGGTTGGAAGGGACTGTTAAAAATCTAATCCAAACCTCTGTCACAGGCAGGGACATCTCATCTTTTTCTAACTTCTTACCCTTCCAAGGTGTCACTGAAGGGTCAGTTGACCAAGCATCATGAAATTTCCTATTAGAACATTCCTTCAAGGAATGTAAAGCCCTTTCTAAACTAAACTTGAGGTAGACAGAGAAAGATTTGTCCTCTTGAGAGGAAGGATGCTTCCTCTCCTGTTCCTTCTTGCAGTTCTTATACCCTGTGTTTCTCTGGGGCTCTCTACAAACCACCACAGAAGAAGGCAGGAGACTGGCTGTAGGTGCTGCCTTCAAGGCCCTCAGAAATAACTAACAAAACTTGCAAATTGGCAGCTTTAGTGATCTAACTAAAAACCTCCATCTTGTCTCTGCTGCTTTTTTAGGCCTTTCTGCAAAGGCATTGTCACAGATGTAAAAGCAGATATATTGCTCAGCATTTTCCAGATTTCTGTTTTACCTGCAGAATCTTTCTCTTCATCAATGACAAGAGGTGTTTCTACTTTTGCTGTTTTGGCTTTTCTCCCCCTCCTGGCCTTTCTCCTCGAGTCTGTGCTGGCACTGGCTGCATCACTTGCCACTGGTTGATCTGCTGGCACAGCCTCTGCTGCTTTCTCAGCATTATTTTGGCTGCTTGGGGGGGCACCTTTGGCTTGTTCCAGGTGACTCAGCAAGTGCTCTGGGTGGATAGGGAAGAAAAGGAGAGTAAGGAAGAAATTATCCTTAAAATACTCAAATGGAACTAGCTGAAGCTCATCTATCAGGTCTGTTTTACTTTGCAGTGACTTACTTCTAATTATTTCAAAAGCAGTCACAATACCTTCAAAAATCAAAGCCTACAGTTTATTCAACAGTCACAAGAACTTAATTTTAAGGAGATCTGTTGATATCACAGTAAAAAGTTTGTGTTTGTAATAATGGGTACATTTTTCCAAATCCCCAAGTTACTTACTGACCGAAGTCCCCTTTTCAAAAAAGATTCATCAAATGGCCAAAGCTTCTAAATAATTTTAAGCTCTTCTGAAAAACTGCATAAAATAGCTGTAAATGAAATGCAGAAAAAAAGATGTACTTCATTACCCTTACTAAATCTGTGCCATAAATACCAGATGGACAACATCACAAAGTATAACCTGGCATCACTGACCTTTACACTGCTCATGCAGCTCCCTATCTTTGATTTTCCTGACAGTCACATCATCTTCTAGATCACAGTTTTATTTCTTCTAGATTCAACATTACAGCTGTTTGTCCAGAGACTCAACACTGCCATGGTCAAAACATCCAAAATATCCTTGTTTCTACCTTCCCTACTACTGTTTTCCTTAAAGGAACACAAAATTTAAAACTGTTATCTTACTGCACCATGGATGGTGCATGGCTTCACAGCCATGGGAGAGCAGAATTCTGCTGATGATTCTCAGTGCTCTCCCATGAATTTCTAGCACTTCCTACCTGTCAGCAGCTGGGGCTCCTGGAAAGCAGATGAACACACTTTACACGTCCACTGGTTGGGCTTTGCTTCTGCTGTTCCACTGCCTTCTGGAGTGTTCACTAAATCACAACAAGAAATACTGAAATACTCTGAAAATAGGCAGGTGGTAAACCCCTGTAGCTTTGCTTCTCTTGCAATAACTCCCTGAGTATCACAAGGTACAATTTAAGCAGCAAGAGGCCCCTGGGGGGCCATTTCAGGATTCTCCAAACATGAAGAGTTGAACTATCAGAAGATATAAATGATGCCAGGAGAGAGTATCAGTGCCCTTGTAAAATCCTGAGGGCTCCTTTATCACTTTCTAAAGAACTGTGTTCATAAAAGGCATGGCATAAAGCAATTTTTAGCACCTTTAAAACCAGAGTTACCAGTCTTCTTATGGATTAGCTGAGTACAGAAGCAGGAGAAACCTCTGTGAAGGGCATTGCAGAGTAAGAACATTTGGATTAATGGAAGTAAGGGTGAGGACAATGAAAACTTGGGTTTCAGCAGTTTCATTAATTAGATGTGCTATGAAATCACCATGCTAATACTTTAATTAACACATCGACTCAAGAAAGGTGAAGAAATTAGGGCAAAAATGAAACTGGAATAAAAAACTAAAATAAGAAGAGTAACTCTGTTAACAGTCCTTTGTATTTCAGTCCTTAGATGATATATTTGAATTTGTCAAGAGGATCTGATAAGTCTGGACTGATTCAAAGATTTTTTTGGCACACAAAAAGCTGAATAAGACTTCCTCCTGCAGAGGAGGAGGATGACACTGAAGTCAGGGTAAGTGAAGGGAAGCACAGGGAATTCAAATTGTGCTTCAGTTTCTGCCACAGATTTCCTAGATGGTCATTACATGCCAGCTCATCCCTCTCTGCCTGAGGACCCCATCTGTAAAGGGACAGAAAAGTTCTTCCTTGTTTTCATTGTTGGCTCTTGTACCAAAATAAAGGATTCTCTGAGGCAGAGGCTGATCCCTGCTACAAGATACATTCAACACTCTGCACTACAGAGGTGTGATCTCATCCATGCTGCAATGAATAAATTAATAAAAAATCACTTGGCAATACAGCAACAAAAATTCCCTCTTCAGAGGCTACATAAAGTCTTGAGGGCTCTGTCCAGGAGGACAAAAGCAGCAAACCAAGATTCTGTGCAAGTTAATTGTGCCTGACTCTGCACTTCCCTTGCTCCTTGTACTGGTTTGTCAGGAAGAGTCAGGTCCTTCTTAAGTTCCCACTTCCCCAGGCTTCCAGGGCAGCTGCAGGGCAACCTGGCTGACTTGGAACCACAGATCTGACAGCTGGCAACTGCTTGCTATGACTTGAGGAAAACAGAATCAAAAAAAGAAAATTTTGTTTTGGAAGCACCAAATCAGTGGGAACACCTCAGGGTTCCCAAAATATCATAGGCAGCATTTTGTTTCTCCTGAAGCTGGACTTTCAGGCAGTAGGGTGAAGGATATAGGAGGGGCTTTTCCAAGTCTTCATTTTACCTCTGGAAAAATCAATAATGCCAAACTGAAAGACAACTCCTCAGTCAACTTCACAGTTGAGCTGTGACAGAACCCAAGCTGACAAATTAATCCTCTGATCAACTGCTCTGCACAAGTCTGCAACAACTCCCCTCCTTTCCTCCCAGCTACTTTTAGTAAGCAAAGTTTAGGAAAATAACCTCTCAAAGAGCAGACCTAGAAAGGGTTTCTTTCGATCTTGTGTACTCTGAGTGCAATTTCTGAAATTTGTGTTAAGTGGGTTCTAAATTTCACTGTTCCACTCTGCACAGACTGGGTGGGGGGAGCACTGCTTTGTAATGGATCCTTGGGACAGAGTTCCTGTGACACCACCAGGTATTTCCTCAGCCTTGTGTCCTTTGCCAAGAGGATATGTATTGCTTAGAGGTTTATTAAAATTTGACTTTCTGTGATTTAGAACAGTCTGAGTTCTAATAGTGGTATTATTGTAATTTGGGGATGGCCAGTGTTCTTGTCATTTCCAAATATTTGAAATGTTTTCTTCTAGAGCTTGGCCTGATCATTTGAATTACTTTGCACAGGCAGAATGGAGATTTTCTTGGGGATTGCCCCCACCCCAACACTAACCATCTCCAAAGTCAGGAGCATTTATGGTTTTCATTAAAGTAATCTACCAAAAAGTTTATTGGCCCCTCTGTCACTTTTTAACCCGTGTATATACTTTAAGCACTGTGCCCACAAAAATGAAAATAAAAATTCAGGCTTTCAAATCCTCTCTAAATTAGTATTTGCCAGAAGTTATATATCCATAATACACGTGTAGGAGTGTTACACCTAACAGCTCTGCAGACCTGTATCTGTCCTCTATCTTCCTTAAGAGCACTGTAATTTTGCATACCTGCTGGATCAGCTGCTAGTATGCTGGATTTCTTGGTTTTTTTATGGGGTAAGACAGCAGATGAAGGTTCTGAAGAGACCTTATTATTCCCCTCCTTATCAGACTCCATTGCTACCAAGGATGTATCTGTGAAGAGGAAAAAGAGTTCATCTTTACTGCCCAGACCCTTTGACTCTTGCTCTGTGCTGAGGGCAGTAACCACAGTCAGAAAGTTTTATTCTGTAACAGGCCTGCAAATAACATTCTCATGGAAAATTTTAACCAGGGCATTCTTACAATTGAATCTCACCCTTAAATATTATTATTGTGCCTTAAATATTCTGGAGGGTACTCTGAAGTGCTGAACAGAGTGCAGGGCATATTTCAACAGTATTTTTAAATACCCATAATCCCCAAAAAATGCATGAACAGGTTAAATTGAAGAGGGAAACTATGAAACCTCTCAGTTAATACCAACTGGAAACACCTCAGAGCTCAGAAACATGTCAACTGCATTGATTCAGCTGCAGCACTTGAGACTTTGCTTAGGATCAAGGGCAACCATAAAGCTGACACTGGTGGCAATGGCCTCTTCCCAAATTTGTCACCCCAAATTATACCCAGCAGAGCAGTAATAACATCCAGGGAGTACTCCCAGCTCAAGAGCAGGAAGAAAACGCCCTTGCAATGCTAAAGGATCTTGCCTTTCAGCTGTAGAAATGGAAAAGTAGGAGAAAACAAAGGGGAAAAGACTGGAACTTGTGGCAATTCTAATTCAGATTCTAAAATATCTGCTGTCTTTCTTTCCAATGCACAGCCACGTGGATCTTACTCTAGTGGGTCCCATGTCAGGCTGCTTAAGATAAATCTAGTTTTTTAGAACTGTGTAATAGTTCTGTGAAAAACCAAACCATTTCCACTGCAACTGAAAAAGGCTTCTTTATCAAATCTGTATACAGATTTCATGTACTGTGAAGTGCTGAACAGAGTGCAGGGCATCCTTCAACAGCATTTTTAAATACCTATAATCTCCAAAAAATGCATGAACAGGTAAATTAAAGAGGGAAAATATGAAACCTCTCAGTTAATACAAACTGGAAACACCTCAGAGCTCAGAAACATGTCAACTGCATTGATTCAGCTGCAGCACTTGAGACTTTGCTTAGGATCAAGGGCAACCATAAAGCTGACACTGATGGCAATGGCCTCTTCCCAAATTTGTCACCCCAAATTATACCCAGCAGAGCAGTAATAACATCCAGGGAGTACTCCCAGCTCAAGAGCAGGAAGAAAACGCCCTTGCAATGCTAAAGGATCTTGCCTTTCAGCTGTAGAAATGGAAAAGTAGGAGAAAACAAAGGGGAAAAGACTGGAACTTGTGGCAATTCTAATTCAGATTCTAAAATATCTGCTGTCTTTCTTTCCAATGCACAGCCACGTGGATCTTACTCTAGTGGGTCCCATGTCAGGCTGCTTAAGATAAATCTAGTTTTTTAGAACTGTGTAATAGTTCTGTGAAAAACCAAACCATTTCCACTGCAACTGAAAAAGGCTTCTTTATCAAATCTGTATACAGATTTCTCTGACAACTGAGCTCCTCTGCTGTTCTACCCAGAAATAATTTGATACAAATGATTTGATACACCAAATCTTTAGTTAAGGACTATTTATGCAGTCTGTCCACTCTGAAGAAGCTGAACCATTAACTAGGCCACCTGTTTTAAAAAAAACTGGTTGTATCATGGTGAAGAATCTCCACTTTCCTCTTGCAGGGCACCCACGTGTGCAGGCTGGCCTGACTCTGCAGGATAAGAACCCTCTGGACAAACAGCACTGCCATCTCCTACAGCCAGGGACTATCAGTCCCTGCCAGCCCTGGGCCCTCAGGAAGGAAGAAAGGCTCCCACACATACCATTGGCAACACTCGTGACCTCCTTCAGCACTGGCTTTTCCATTTTTTTGGCGTAAAAAGCTGCATACCACACTCTCAGCTCAGTTCCTGGGGGGATGTCCTGGCAGGTGGTGAAGTAAATGTCATTGTCATGCTGGAAGGCTGTCAAGTTTTGGTGCTCATACTCGGTGGCCGGGCGCACCATCATCATCCAGTTGCAATCATCTTCGTTTGTGGTGTCAAAATACACCAGGGGCCCTTCCTTCTGGAACACCTGCCAAGCAAAATGTGCACGGAGGGAATAAAAACCCTCAGAAGTGATACAAAGTAAGGGGAAATAAATTATTTTCTGCTTTTGCAGTGGTTTCTTTTCAATGGGCATCAGGGACGAAGCAAGCCTCATCAGGCATCTTGCACTTAGCCACATCTTCAGATGAGACAGACAACCAGGAGCAAGATGGGAACAAACTGAACAAAATCATCCCAAGAATTCTTGCTATAGCCACCAGTTTCCAAAAAAATTACTGCATACATGAGTGGAAGGGTATCCAAATAGCCATCAGCCCAAGGCACTGTTCTAAATCTTTACTTCTGAGTTAGGTATTAGTGGAAACTAAGACTGAATTCCATTCTTAATGTAGCATTTTTCCTACCAAAACTTGTCAAGAAAAGAATAAAACAAATGCAAGACAGAAAAAACCCCACTTATTCTGCATGTTCCATAAACCTAATGCATATGTGGCTCATTAGGAAAATTCAGTCAAATTGAAGAGATTCATTAAAAGAATTGAGCTTCTAGTTTGGTTCTTCTGTTCCTTGCCCAGAGAATGTTTGTTTAGCTCATCTCTTACAAGGCACACCTAAAAGATGTTCCAAATAATCCCCCTTCATATCTTTGTTTTCATAGTGTTAGCCAGCATGAATCCATCACAGGTAAAACTGACTCCTTGCTATTCATTGCTTTACAAATTCTGTGTCTTACCTTCAGGGGAAAAACTGATTCTTTCTCCAGCTTGAGAACTCTCTTGCACTCAAAGGGGCCAAACTGGGTACGTTTCACCAGCTGAGTCAGAGCAAACACTCCCTCAATCCCATCCTCCAGCTGTCTTATCTCCAAATTAGAAGGTAGAGATGATCTAAAAATTTAAGAGAATTGAGGAAAAAAAACCAAAACATAAATCACAGAACTGATTAGGCTGGAAAAGACTTCTGAGATCAGCAATTTCAACCTTTGGCTGAACACCACCTCATCCAGTAACAGTTATGCACTGCAGGAACCCAAGGAAGAAAGAAGTCAGCATTAAACACAAATGTTTCTGTGCTCACAGCCTCTCTCTTTTCCCAAACAATCTTGGGAGAAGAACTACATGTAGCAAATATTGTAACTACGTATAATACACAGAGAACATCTTCCAAAAAATTCACCTTGACTGGCCCCACAGTATTGGTTTTACAAACCAAATGCAATTCTGGTTTTTTATGTCTGTGCTCACAGATGAAAAGGAAAAAATAATCAGACAGGCTACTGAGTACCCTGTAGAGGCTGACACTGGTAGAAGTGCTTTACTGCCTAAATAAAGAGAAATACTAAAAGATTGCAATCATAGTGATAAGCAAATGAATTGAACAAAATACTTTTAGTTTGAAACATACAGCAGTGTTAGAGACAAAGAAGTTCAGCAGATGTTTCTCAACAATTCTTTTCTAACCATAAAGCATCCATTTTATCTTTTCAAAAGACAGAGGGAAGAGCAAATGTGGTTAAGCAAGCAGACTGTTTTTAAAAGATTCATAGCCAGTTTGTGGTTAAACTTGCCCTCAACCTCAGATAACTCATTTTCAGTTACTGTTTCCCCAGATGTAAAAGCTGCAATTAAATTTCTTCTTTCCTTTTCTTATCTCACCTGACTTAAGCTGAAAACTCTTCAGGAAAATAAATACATTTATCTGTAAAAAAGTAAATCTAAAATTCTGCTTTCAAGTCTATGGTCCAGCAGCCCACACTTCCACTAGGGAAAACTTTGCATTTGCACATCAAAAGGAGATTGAAAACCAGTGCATGCACCATATTTGCAAACATTCCCAGTTGGAACATCTGGACATTAAAGCACAAGTTAAAAAATAGAAAAAATGTAGGAAATAGTAGTTTGTCATGGAATGTGTGTAGTACAGGCCAGAGACTTACTGCACTGCCCATTTTTTGTATATAATAAAAGCACCTCCCTCACCAGGGAGGTGAATATAGAATAATATTCTATTATTCCAATGGGTATTTTTAAATTACCCTCAAGCACCTGTAGTGTCAGGGCTGTTAACCATTAACAGCTGCTGGAGGGGATCATCCAGGGCAGGTTTCCAGGCACAGGAAGGCAGTGCCTGGCAGGAACTGCAGGGAAATTCCTCATCTGGAAAGGCCAAGAAAAGCAGGAGCAGCTCCTGCACAGGTGCAGCCACTGTACTTGGTGGCACACCAAGAGCATCCTGCAATGGCCAAGGGGTCATGGTACCCAGGTGGCAACACCAGTATTTGTTACAAAAGGATGCTGGGAATACACAGCACGGCCTACACAGCCAGGATGTGCCAGACTTGCTGCCCACGTGCCTGTTTTCTGCCTGTCGCTTCCCAAAAAGAAATATGGAAGCCCTGCATACATTATATAACACACAAAGCCATCTTTGGTTTAGGGCAAATTTGGGAGAAAACCTCCAAAGGGGGCCCCTCCAGAAAGCAAACCCACAGGGCCCCTCCCCACAACCGGTTCGGGAAGGATTCCTCAGAGAGAAGTGGAGAGAACCTGTTTATTTAACAGGCAAAACACCCCCAGCACACAAAATGAACAATACTGGATGACAACACCCTTTCTCTGATCTGGAAAGGATGACCAATTCAGAAAGTCTCTCCTGGGAGAGGTCACTGTTATCAATCCCCCGGTGCTGGGGACGGCTGCTGCAGCCACGAGGTGCAAACCCTCGGTGCTTCCCTGGTCCCAGTCCAGAGCAGGTCTGAGTGGTTCCAAAAAGGGGAAGGAAAACAGTCCAGGGGAAATTCAGACTGCCTAGCTGAACTAACTAACGAGCAGGAGCAAAAGCAGGAGCAAGGGCAAAGCAAAAACCAGAGCAGAAAGCACAAGCTGCCCTATGTGCTGCCCTGTCTGTGTCCCACTGACTGCTGGAGGAGTGAGCAGACTGATAACTGATAACAAAACAAAAAGCTTCGCTCTTCAGAGCCAGTCTTGAAGGCACAGAACATAATATCCAGCATAAACAGAACAATGACTGGGGATACAAGCATTATAACTTCACCCCAGGACATTAACATTTCCCTTTTTGGATCTGTATTGCACCTTCACAATGGCAGATTATTTTCCTTAGCTTTTCATGCTACATCTTAATATGAATTTTGCTGACAGTGCCTGATTGTCTTTCCCTGTAAAAATCACTACTCAGTGTTGTTTTCTCCCAACTAGATTGAGTCTATTTGTTTCTTTTGGCAAACACAAGTGTTTCTGCTGCGCTGTCACAGATTTGCTGACAGAACTATTACTCCTAATCGTTTGAAAAACCCACAATAATGAGAACAACTTGTTTTGCTTCTATGTGGAGGAATGAGAGAGTTCATACACATGAATGAGAAATCCTCACACACTTCTCTGAAATGAATCTGCTGTATCTAAGGGGGATAAAAGGGGCAGGTACTCAACCACGACAGAAGTCATCATCCCATCTGGCACCACCTGACTTCTTGCCAGAAACCTCAGCAAAGAAACCGAGTCCTGATGAGCAGCAAGTTATTTTTTTTGGCTTCTATTCAGTGCAGCACTTAAGTGTGTGCATCAATTTTTCTACTTAATCAAGGCCATGTGCTTTCCATAGATTTCTGTCATCCTCTGGGACTTCAGTTTCCAGCTGTCAGCGTGACATCCACTGAAGAGCAAATATGCTTTAAAGAACTAATATGGGCGTTGGGTTAGTCAGGATTAACACAAACATTTCTCACCTTGCCCTGCTCAATACAAAGGAGTCTTTGACTGTCACCACTGGGCCCAGCTCAGGACACTCTGAATCATGGTACTGCCGACAGTCCTCGCACCCTGCAAGGAACCAGACAGAAAAGGCTGGTGGAAAACACTTTTGTAAGACACTCCCTCTTTCAAAAGAAACCTACCACCAGGTAAAATACACATGTAGAGAGGCAGGTATTTGTTCATATTGCTTAAAAGAACATAAATAATTGAACACAGAGTGAACAGCTGGCACCTGTATAGGTGAGACAACACACTGTGATCAGTACCATCAGAAGACAATTGTTTAAATTCTCTCACAAAGGAAAAGAAATGCCTTACACCCACAGTAAATATTCTGCTTAAAGATGGCATTATTCTTCAGATAAAGTGCTGCAACACACAGCAGCTAAAGAAAACCACATCACTGCTTCCCCAGGAGCTGGGCTGTTATGAACAGCTTGGGTAGCCTGTGACAGGAGGCACAAACCCAGAACCAGGGGCAGAACTGGCACAGGGCTCAGCAGGGCACCAGCACGTCCTGAGAGCCCAGCTCTGCCTGGCCACACACACTTCTCACCCACAGGGCAGGACAGAGACCTCCAAGGTACCTCCTGGTGCCTTTCCAGACAAGTCAGCTGGCTGCACAACACATTCTGGCCATCTAATTCACTGTCAGCTTAGCTAAATTAACTTTTAGTTTAAGTGGTTGTAAATTACCCAGAACTGAGTGGTTCCTAAGAAACAATTTTCAGACGAGGATAATTTGAGGCTTTCTAAAATAAGCTAACTTAACAGGACTCCAAATGCTTATACACTGCTTCACTGTGAAAAAATAGCTGTCAAACTGCCCTGCCTGGTCAGCTGCTGACACAGCTTCAGGAGAGATCATCACACAGGGGTTGTGTTGCTGTGGTGCCTTTTGCATCTGAGCTCCGAGCTTACAAGGGCAACTCAGGAAACCCCAGAAAATGTGTAATGTAAGGGTCATTACACCTTTTTTTGGGAAGACATGACAAAAGCCAAGTCATTCCAAGCTATATCCCCTCTGGCAAAGCTACGTTGTGCTCCTAACTGGAAGCTTTTCCCCCCATCAGATATTCATCCCAGTGAACAAAAAGACTTCCAAAACAAGAGATTCCAAACTGCTTCACATTTCTTCTGGCAACAAAACCAGCTTAGTAGTGAAAAAAATACATGTATTTGACAAACAGCATTTCTGGGTGGTGCAGCCCCCAAGGCTGGTCACTGCCTCCTGTCGAGCTGTTTGTGCTGCCTTCTGGTGAGCCAAGGAATGAAACAACCAGCTCTTCACATGATTTTTCAGCACAAGGAACTTCCCAGCCTGGCTTGCTGTACAGCACCACAGAGTTATTGTACCAGAGAAAAATGGGCAAGTACTACTCACAGAGCCCCAGCACCAAAGCTCAGCCTACAGCTGTCCTGCTCACTGTCCCACCATTCCCCTGCTCCAGGTGTGCCTGTAGCCCAGGCTGCCCTTAATATTACTGAAATAATCTGGGCTAAAAGCAGATTTCCCAAACCAGAGAGGGCACAGGAATGACAGAGGAATGTGTAAACCTGACTGCTGAAAAGAAATGGACTGTCACCCATAATGGACTGTCACCCATAAAGGGTTGTTATAACCAAGCCTGAGTAACAGCTTCTCCCACAGGCTCTGCTGTCCAAAGAAAAAAGCACTTTGTCATTTTCCTCATCTCCTGACTGCATCAGGGCATTCCTCACTCTGCAAAGATAAGCCTCTGAAAGGTGCAGACAGCACTGGCCACAACTGCAGGCAAGAATAAGCCACACATGCCTCTCACTCCTCAGCAGAGGAATGACCAAAGCCAGGGGAATATGACAATGACATTGTGTGGCACAGCTCAATATCCAAGGGATGCCCTCCAGCAGCCATTCCCCAAAGCTCTTACACCCACCACATGTGATACTTCCAAGAGATTACAGCCACAGGAGAAAGACAAAACAAGCATGGAAATAATAAAATACCCCACACACTTAATAAAGAAAAAAATCCAAAAATTCTCTTGTCTATGAAATACATACTCAAGGATGTTTATAATTGGCAGTGCACAGTGTCATTTACAGCAACTCACTTTTTCAGAACATAAACAGTCCCCATACCCCATGGGAAAAACTAATTGCAGAGAGCACAAGAAAAAGCTCAGTGACCACAGCCCCCAATGGAAGGGAGAAAATCATGTTGTGTGACACCTTCCATCTAATTAGGAATGGCATCACATCCTTATTCTTTTTGCTGTCCACCAGAATATTTTTATGAAAGGGAAGATAAGGTATTCACTAGTGGTATCCACTAAAAGGTATCTGCATCTCAGTAAAAATGCAAACAGTCAACACTATTTTTGAAGGAAGCTGGTGGAGGGAGAAAATTGAACTTTCTGAGAGTTGCCATAAATGCAGCTGTGGAACCATCAGAGGTAAAATACTATGGTTCCAAAAACCCAGCATGTGCTCCTCTCTGCTCACACAAGGGCTCTACATCCCTTAACTCTTTTCCACCTTTACACCAGGTCCTGCATGTCCAGGCTGCTGACAAAGGAGAGGATTAGTGTGGGACCCAAGCCTGCCAGCCCAGCTGCCACAAGCATGGGACACTGCCCAGCCTGGGCACAGCCCTGCTGCAACATTTCCTCACCCAGCAGCACCCCAGGAGCCTGGATCCCAGTGACAGAGGCCAGCCTGGCACTCAGGGTTACACAGGGCACAGCAGGAAGCACAGGCAGTGAATGCCACGAGTGAAACCTGCCAGGGCAGCTGGTGCATCTCAAACTTGTTCTGAAGGAATTATGAGTCTGCCTGGCCCTGCAGGGGAGGTGCAGATCCCCAAGTCAGGCCAGAGGTCAGAGTTATCCCCAGGCACCCCTGGCTGCTAGAGCTGGTTGTATAAACAAAGGGCTTACACGAGTGTTAGACCTTCAATCTCACTTCAGCCATGAAAAAGCTGTGCTGCTAACTCACATTCAGAGGTTTCATTGTGTGTTTGCCAACAGCATCAGAATGTGTATGCTTAAATTACACAACCTCCTCTCTATTCACCCATTAGCATTCAAGACTCCTTTACAAAGAGCAATTTTTCTAAATAAAATCTTAAGTCTGGTTTAGTCTTTAATTTTAAGCATTCTGAGTAGACAAGTCACCCACAGTGATAATTAGATCCTTTTCCTAATACTTACAAATAAACATAATCTCCTCACTGCCATCTTCAGCCATTATTTTAAACCTGCCAAAATACAAAAGACAAAGTTAGTTCTGAATTGACTTTTACTTTCTGTATCATATAAACATCCCTTTGTGAAGTAATGATGCTGAGTGACCCAGAGCCCACCCAAACACATTGATACACCCTGCAGGAGTATCAATGGAAAATTAAAGAAATTATAGTTTTTAAAAAGCCCCAGGGACTGTTGTATCATTACATGTGGTTGCAGACATCACTACCAAGGAAGCCTCAGTGTCTGTGGGTTCTCAGATATTTCTCTGTGAGGAAATGCTGTCTCCTGCTGTTCCCCACCTCTGACAAACTTCCAGCCCCTCCTGCATCCCCTGCTAAAAAGCTCCTGTGGAGCCTCAGAACACACAGGGCCAGAGGATAATCCAGGTCAGCAGCAACCACTGCAGGAACAAGGCCCAGTGCAACATTTTATTTAAACTAGTATTTTAAAAAAATATCTCTGAAAGGCAGGTTACTTATTTACTAAATACAGTAATCTTAAAAACTGCAGATACAGTCACGGATCTCTTCCAGAGGCAAAGGTGTATTGTGGTATTGAGCACCAGAAAACCTGGGGAAACAAAATCCTGCCTCTGTTACTAGTCTTCTGTGAAATGGTAACTAACCAATTTGATTTCACAGCTAAATGAGGTTAATCTATATTCACTTCATTAGCGTCAGTCTGTATTAAAAACTTGCATAAACACTATTGCCCCTCAACAATTAGGTTATGGTTGGCACAAAGTCTGATTATGTATGGCTAAGACCACAATATGGGCAGGGCCTAGAAGAAAGAGAGAGTTTTTCCCTTTTCTACCCAAAAAAATGCTCTCCTCCTCAAATAAGCAATTTTGCCAATGCCCCAGAAGAGATGCAAAGCAACACGAAGATCATGGCCCAAGTCTGAGAGAGGTGAGGCTGCAAAACAGCAAGAGTATTGGCCAAGAGGATGACAGGAAGGAGTAAGAGCCTGAATCTGTGAGAGGGAGAGAAAACACGACACAACAAACTCACAGAGCCCTGTCTGAAAATAGATAAAAGCATTTGCTACTCCATCAACAAAAGCCAAGCCAGAGCACAGGCACTACTCAGGACCAGGGCTCTCCAAGCACTGCCCTCCCCAATTTCACCTGTCAGCAGCAGGATCCCTCCCTAAGACTCACTGCTCTAAGGAGCAAACATTCCCCATTCATAGCACAAGCTGAGCCTTTCTGGGCTGCAGCTTTTGGGGAATAAGCTCAAATAACAGAACAAACATTTATACAAACGCCCAGTGCAGAGCAAGAAGAGCAACTCAGGAAATTACCCCAAAAGCTCTTTTCCTGGAAGCAAGGTGAACAATGCAACAGGTACTTAGGGGAGTTCAAGCACAACGCTGCAAAAACAAGCGGTGTAAGTTGATTTCAAAAATGGTTTACTTTGCTTTTTAACCAACACTTTTTTTTTTTAATGCTTTGCACTATTTCAAGAGGGGTATGCCCAGCTGCTTTTAGATAGTTTGTGACAAAACTTTAATCCTAAATATGGCTGAATTAACAAATAATAGCCTTGGTTAATGGTTCAGAAGCCACACCACCAAAGGCATTCACCCTCTGGGACGCTGCTGTGCCGCATCCTTGGCAAACAGACTGGAGACAAGTGACATTACAGGAGCCTTCAGATGAGAACAGCATCAAAGGGGTGGAGAAATCATCAGCGCTGCTCAAGGTGATGGGGAGGAAGCGTGAAGGGCCCTCACAGGTGCCTCAGCGATCTGCATTAGCGCAGCTCCCTCTCTGCAGCAAGGACTTTTGGTGCTCTGCACTCACAACACTCCCGACCCATCCTCACCCCTCGCTCCCAAAAAAACACTGCTGCCTGCTTTGCAGTCCTGGTTTACCTCACCCGTGCGCTTTCCAGCTCCTCCTCCCTGATCTCAGCTGCATTTCCCAGGGGTTTTTCAGACAAATGACACCATGGCACCCGCTCCAGCTGGTAAACAGAGTCACGATGTGCCACTCACAGGATGGCACTGAAGACAGGCTGCAGGATTGTTTCTGCCCTCGTCTGCTGTTGCTATGGGCCACGTCTGATTTTTTTTTTTTTCCTTTTCAAACATTTGTAAAAGATAAATACTCCATGAAGTCACTCATCCCACTGCTCCTAATTTTGTTCTTGTCTTACAAAGCTTCTGGGAGTTTCAGGTATTTTTTTACATAAATCATTAGCAGTCAATAATCAGGAGAAAAGCCACACAGACAAAATTAGACTAGGTACAAAGCCTAATGCTGATGGCAGTAAAAGAGCAGAAAACTACATTTTCTGGCTTTTATAATTAGATGAGTGATTTTATGTCTGAGAGTAGAGCCACACAGCTATGCACAAAAATTCCACCTGCAACACAAGCCCTGGAGCATATCTGGAACTTGAGGGAACCCAAATTAAAATACTGAGGAGCTGCAGCATCACAGGTACCTGCTTGCAAAGACACTGTCAGGGAACCACCTGAGCTTTAACAATTTAAGAACGTATGCAAAATCACACTTTCTCCTTATAAACTGCTGAAGAAAGAAATCACGCTCAAGTGTTAAGTTGATCTTGTTAATGGATTTTTTTCTAAAAGTAGGTCAGAAAAATTAATGGAATGCCTGAAAATCTGTGTTTGAACTTAATGATCAACAAGGTAGAATTAAAATTACCCTTTCTTCAGTCTGACAATGGGCTTCTATGAGTGTGAATGACTTGAGAGCACAAGCAGATGGGTGCTGCACATACGTATGTGGAAGGATGCGCTTAAAAACGCAGTTTTCCTCATGATGTAGTAGAACTTGTTCATGCTGCCACTCAAAAGAACTGCAGAACATCTGGTAAACTACAGTAAAGCCTTGTATTTCTTAAAAAAATATATATAATAGGGCCATTCTATCAATTATTGTTGAGGAGGGAGACGATTGCTAGGGAGGGCAGGGGGGCATGGAGTGACACGGCAGCTGGCGAGGTCTGTGCCACCTGCCCTTCTCAGCACTTCCCGCGACCGTGTGAACAAACTACGCGCAAAGTTTAATGGCCCTGAGCAGAGAACGGGCGCACTGCAGAAAATTCCAGGCGTGCGAAGCCCCGCGGACCGCGGCTCCGCTCCTTTTGTCTCCTCGGGCGCCCGCCGCACCCTCTCCCAGGGCACACGCCGGGGCAGGGCAGCATCCCCGCACCTCCCTCCTGCTGCCAGCCTCTTCCCTGTGGATCACGCCCTCGCACCTGGGAGCTCCCACCCCCATCCATCCCCAACCCCCTGCGGCCGAGGCGCTCCCCGCTCCCGGCCCCGCATCCCCGTGGCCGCCGCGGCTCCGTGCCGTGCCCGGCCGAGCCCGCGGGGATCGCCCCGCGCCCGCCCCTCAGGGACCGCGCCGCCGCCCGAGCCCGTCGGGGCCCGGGATCCGGGAGCGGCTCCGCCGGGTTTTGCCTCGGACCCGCCTCGCCCCCTTCGCTACCGCCCTCCCGGCCGCTGTAACAAAGAACAGGCGGCCTGGAGGAGGCGGCGGCGGAGGAGGAGGAGGGGGTGGCGGGGCCGCAGCCGCCGCCGCCGCCCCAGGGGGTCCCGGGCGGGGGTGGCGGGGAGGGCGCGGGGTGCGGCGGGAGCGGCGCGGGGAGCCGGCGTTACCTGCCCCGGGAATGGCCAGACCCGGATCGGATCCGCGCTCCGGGTTCCGATCCGCTCCGGAAACCACGCGCCAGCGGAAGCCGGCGCGGGCGGGCGCGGAGCAGGGCGGGAAGTGTAGTGCGGCGGCGGGGCCGGCCCCGGCGCTGACCCGGCCATGGCCCGGCCTCGCCGCCCTCACGCCGGCTCCCCTCGCCGGCCGGAGCCCCCGCAGCCTCTGGCGGCCGGGCTGCGGGCGGGCGGGGGCCGCGCTGAAGGGCTGAAGGTGGCGGAGCAGCCGGGCGGCTCTCGCCGGGTTTCCCGTCTCCTCACGGGCAGTGCCGGGGAGCGGGCTGGCGGAAGGGCTGGCAGAAACAGAATCACAGGATCGGTTAGGTTGGAAAACACCTCCAGGACCATCCAGTCCAAGCTGAGAGCCAACACCACCCTGCCCATCGGATCACAGCACTGTTTCCTTAAACACATCCAGGAATGGGGACTGCCCCGCGTCCCTGAGCTGCCCGTCCCAGTGTTTCATCCCATCAGGGAAGAAATTCTTCCTGATGCCCGACCTGACCCTGCCCTGGCGCAGCTTAGGCCATTCCCCTGTCCCTCGTTCCCTGGGAACAGTCCCCACCTGGCTGCACCCCCTGTCAGGGAGCAGTGACTTCACCCCCGAGCCTCCTTTTCTGCAGGCTGAGCACCCCCAGCTCCCTCCGCCTCTCCTCAGAGGGCTTCTGCTCCACACCCTTCCCCTTTCTTTGGACAAAAGCCACATCAGGTTCTCAGTGGGCTTTAAGCCCAAGTCCTGGCCATGTACGCGAGTGACTGTGCCTCCTTTCCGAGCCTCACTGAGCTTCAGCGCTCCAGGATGAGAGGACAAAGTCTCAAGTTGCACCAGGGGAGGCTCAGGTTGGACATTAGGAGGAATTTCTTCACATAAAGCATAATTAGACATTGGCGGGGGCTGCCCAGGGAGGTTTGGAGTCCCCATCCCTGGAGGTGTCCAAGCAATGCCTGGACATGGCACCCAGTGCTCTGGGCTGGGGACAAGGTGGGGATCGGTCAGGGGTTGGACTCGATCACCTTGGAGATTTTTCCAACCTAAATGGTTCTGTGATTCCTAAATCTCCCATCCTGGCATTACCAGGATCTGTCAGCGCCCAGCCCTGCTGTGCCTGCCAGCACAAATCATTCCGGGGGGTTTAAACCTTCAGGCTATTCCACCACTCCAGGCAGTGGCCAGGGCAAGAAGCACACAGGCTTTTTGTATCCAAGCAAGATGCCCCAATGTTTTGCTCTGCTGAGGAGTGTTGCCTGCAGTGGAGTCCCCCCAAATCCTTATTTCAGTGCTCCCTGCCACCATGGTGTGACTGCTCAGCTTTCACTATCACACCACTGGAGATCAAAAGGGGGTGGGAAGCTGACACCAGCTCTGTATTCTCCAGGGAATTTGCTCTTCTCACATCTGGATACATCTTTACCAGCTGGAAACAGCGTTTCTCAGTTGTTACCCATCCCACAAACTCTAAAAACAAAACAAAAACCCCAAAAACAAAAAAGAGAGACGTGTAGAGAGTATTCTGAGGATGGGCCAGGCTGGAAGGGACCACAGTGGGTCACCAGGTCCCATCTCCCTGCTCCAGCAGGGCCAGCCCCGAGCACACAGCACAGGGTTGTGTCCTGATGGTTCTGGAATAACTCCAGCAAGGGACACTCCACGGCCTCTCTGGAAGCACACAGCACAGGGTTCTGGAATTCCCGATGGTTCTGGAATAACTCCAGCAAGGGACACTCCACGGCCTCTCTGGACAGTCTGTTCAGGGCTTGGTCACTGCACAGGGAGGTTCTGCCTCATGTTCAGGTGCAGCTTCTGTGCATCAGTTTCTGCCTGTTCCTCTCAGCCTGTGGCAGAGCCTGGACCCGTGCCCTGGCCATCCCCACTTTTATTTATTTATACACGTTAAAGAGGTCCCCTCTCCCTGGGGCTCCTCTCCAGGCTGAGCAGCCCCAGCTCCCTCAGCCTTTCCTGGGCACGGAGCTGCTCCAGGCCCTTGCTCAGCTCCAGGAGCTCCTGTCCCTGCTGTGCTGAGGAGCCAGAGCTGGGCACAGCACCCAGAGGTGTCCCCAGGGCTGGGCACAGGGCAGGATCACCCCTGACCTGCTGGGAATGCTTTTCCTGATGTACCCAGGGCACCACGGCCATACTGACTGTCTTCTGCTTGGGGAAACTGAACACAGCATTTGAATTTTCAAAATATTGTACTTGGGAAAACAGTGTTCATTTCAGGATAGGGAACAATTTCTTCTTTCAAAATTACTCACCAGCAGCTTTAAATGACTACAGGATAGGAAGGGGAGTTTTTTTAAGGATCTAACTGCATGTACAAATTATTTGCTTTTTCAAGGACTAAAGCTGACTGGCAGTTTTTGTACAGTGTCCTTTTGCTTATTTTCCCTGTATATTTCAGTGCATACTCACATGGACTTCTGCCTGGTTTTCTCCAGCACTCAGCACACCAGAGTGGTTTATCTGACTTGCAGTGCATTCACTTTGTCAAAATAAGTATAAATTAATTTAGTATAGTTGTCTGAACATTTACAAAGCACATGAATCTGGATCTTGCAGCTCCAAAATTATTTTTTTCAGCATTAACCTCAGACTATGAAATTCCATCTTATGCCAGGCTCACCTGAGTAGAGAGGTGAAAAATTGAAGATCCTTTATATTTATTGTTTAAGAATGATGAACTGGAGGGAAGAGTATGGTGTCACACTTGGAGCTACAACCATTCCTGCTGTCCCTCTGACAGGTCTTGTCACTTTTGCTAATGTACAGGAATGCATGACACAAGGTAAAAAAACTCACCACAGATTAGAGCAGGGAGGAAAAGGATGAAGGTTTGTTAATAGGAGACTATCAGGAAATTTGAGCTGAGCACTTCAATAACATGAAATAAACATGTGGGCAGTAACTCCCAGGAAGGGAATGCAACATTTCCTTGTAAAAGAGGGTACAGCCCTCAGCTTTGGAAGGGAAATAAAAACATTATTGTGGTTATTTTCACGTGAATGTCTTTTTTTGTTCTGTTGGGTTTTTTGTTGTGGTAGTTTTAATGTTGAGGTTGGATTTTTTCCCTTCAGTCTGGTAGGGCTTTGTGGCAGCAGTGATTTATAACATAACCTTTTCAGTAAAATCATCACAAGGGAACCTAACTCCCAGGCTGTGCTCATTCTAGGACTGGTGTCTTCTCCATAGGATCCAGGCCCTAAAACTTGCCCCCTCTGCCCCTTCATTCAAGATATTACAACATAACTGAGAGAAAAAAAATACTGAGTAACCAGAATGAGCTGCACAATTCCTTCTGCCATTAGATCCCCTACCCAATCCATGTTTCAGGTGATTTCTCAAGCAACAAGAGGCTGCCTGACAGGCTGGGGTTATCAGGAAAGAACTCTGCTCCTGAACAAACAGGTAAATGGTCTGTGTTAAGCAACAGGTCAAACTACTGGAGGAGGGTAGAAAACCATCTGGCACACCTGGGTATGTAGGACAGCACACCACACAGAGACAATTGGCTTTTATTGTATGTACAGCAGGAGTTACTTCTTTAAAAAAATCCTCTTAGGTTTTTTTTGTAGTGATATAATAAATCTGTACATCATAGATTTTATAATTGCACCAACTTGAGTTTATGTATGCACAGAAAGAAAAACACACCACAGAAGAAGTGACTATGACAGTTGATGCTAGAAAAAAAAAAAGGTTTACCCCACTTGGAATAATACAGAGCATAATACATCATTGGGAAATACAGAGTTATAGTACTGGAAAGACCTCAGATCATCCTTCCCAGCTATTTTCACACCATGCCAGCACCTTGCATAGTAGCAGTTTGGATATCCTGAGTGAAGTGGTATTATTCACCCTTAACTTAAAGTAATCACCCTTGTTATATAATTAATCTGGAGTTGTTTGTCACCAAGGCTGAGGCTTAGCAATGTGCAGAAGCATATGCTGACTTTAAACACATGAATAAATCCACTTAGGTCCTGTTGAGGTCAGAGCATGAGGTCAGCTGTTCCTACCCACAACAGGAATGTCTTAGCCTGGAGCTACGGCACAGTTAATTCTAGAAGCACTTCTCTCAAACCTCAGCTCTCCAAATCAAAGCCTGCAATAAACTCAACTGAAAAATCCAGGCAGCTTGCTCTGTGCAACACCCAGAGCTCCCAGACCTAAAACAGGTGTTAAAACATGAGCAGGATTCTTATTTTGCCTCCCCATCCACATTTGGTAGCATTTTAGGCTTTCAGCTTTGTTTTTTCCTATGATGTTTTGCACATCAAGAACAGCAGAACTCTGCAAGAAATACACAGCAGAAAGTTTTCACTTGCAAAACACCTAGAACCAGCAAGAAGATGCAGTACCAGGAAATGCTGTAAAATTCCACTGATCCCCAAAAATGGTGTAATTGCCAGCCAGTTTCACCAAAAAAGCAGCACTATAAATCCAGTCCTCTCAAGAGCAAGACAGCACAAGGTCTGTATGGCCTGTCTCCCAAAGAAAGAGCAGGGAAAAAGAAAATCTGTCAGAAAATGTAAGAATAAAACCCAGTATTTATGCCTGCACAGTGTATGACCTGTCCATTAAGTTGAAGAACTTTGGCAAAGGTATTTTGCTTTCAAAATTATTTTTTCCACCCTGGCATTCCTTCTGCCTCAGATTCCCAAGTTTCATATATTGTTAGGAGTGAAATGACTCGAATTTCTTCCTGGGTCAAGTGGGGTATAAAATACCAATGACCTAGGGATAAAGTCTTCCCCTCCACTTTAAAGTGACTTTGAAGGGGATCTCAATCACTTTAACAAAGTTACTTAGGTTGTATTCCCATTGGAGATATTGGGTAGTTTTATTGCTTTCATCTACAAAGAGTAATTTAATTCTTGTACTCTTTACTTAGTCAAAATTCACATTAAAGCTGAAAAATCTTGGTGAGGACAGGGCTTGTCTCCATCGAGGCAAATTTAAACACCATAAAGCAAAACAAACTACAAACACAAATTAATAAGTTGCACTTATGGGCAGAAAAATTCTTTAGAAAGG